TCCCCTTGAGTGACGACAAAATTAGGCAAATAAGGGCCTGTGATCAGGAAGGGCCGAGGTGACAACGTCATGCCGTTTGCCAGTGATGGATTTGGATATGTGGTCAGGTTGGGGCTTATAGCACCTCCCCCAATTAGCGTAAGGCTTTTTTAATTGTATCTGTGTGATAGACTGGATAAGTTCACAGGCGAACTTCTAAGTCTAGTTGTGGGTCAGGAGATCCCTTCAAGGTCACCACGTGCACGGCGCTTCCGTATTCAAAGTGACCTCCAGGGTATTTCCAGACGTTTTTCTCAGGATCAGTATGTACCTCCGAAGACACATTTTCGTTGGCCCACCCTGGATATGCTTTCAGTGTTACATCGCCAACAAGGGACCACCCAAGTGTAAGTATCCTCAAATCCAATCCATTGTGTACTTTTTTCAAGTGTGACTATTTGTCATGAGTCATATTGTGGTCGCTGAGGCTTTCCCGTTAGTGTTCCACATAAATTGCAGTTCATATTCAGCAGTTCGGCAACAAAAACTAAACAAGAGTACTGAGGGGATGGGATCAGTGAAATGTAACCCTAGGGACATTTTAAAGTTCAACCGTTGCCATTTTTTCATTAAAATTTGGAAAAATTAGAAACCAACTAGCAGCTAAAAAAGAAAATCAACAAAATTATAGAAATAGTCAAAAACGTGGATTTCCTCAATAGTAACATTTAGTTACCTCCGTTTAGTGTCCCTTTCTTTTTGTCAATGAAGTATCCCAATGAAGTGAAACGTTGAACAACTAGTAAACAGCACTTTTTGATGATCCTTCAGAGAATCTTATCAACCAACTCATTCTACAAGCCCAAATGTTTTCCTGCACAAAAGGACATCAAAGTTCCGTGAGAAAGTTCCCAAAAGACTTAAAATAAATCCTGAAGGCTGTCTGATTACATTCCAGTGTTTAACACCTTCAAGTTTACTTTTTTTTACAGTTTGCAATTACATTGACGTACCCTTTTTCAGTGGCTTTCAAAAAAGACCCGATTTTTGAACACTGGTCTAACATCTATCAAAAACGAGCCATAAATAAAAAAAGAATTCCACAAAATGACTAAAATAATATATAATTAATATAATAATATAATTAATAATAATAATAAAAATAATATGTCATATATAAACCTGGATGGCTTGGGTCACATTGGACTTGAAGAATGTGACGAGATCCACTCTTGATCGGTCACATCATGTCTACAAGATTGATTATTTTTCTCATTTTTATTTATTATCTAATTTCGGTTGTATTCATTTTATAATCTCAACATTTATTTTTGTTATTACTGCTAGTTTTGTTTTTTTTATATTACTTACTTTATTTTATTTTTATTATTTATTTTTTGCTTAACTAAATTCTTATACGGAATACAACTGAGCGATCGATGATAAATAAGGGCGGGAAATTCAAACAAATTACTCCTTACGCCAGAAAGTAGTAAGCTATTGTGAATGTCACGGAGCTACGAATTATTGCTGCAATTCCACAACGATTAGGTCCACCCCAATGATGGTATGCGCCGTGCACTTTAATCACTACGGTTTTCCCTTAGTAGAGTCAAAGCAGTGTACCAGTAGGGTACCACTTGTTCCCCTCACACTTCTTCTTTCGGTTAATCATGAATAGGCGCTGGCTGTCTACTTTGGGGGCCGCTTTCGCTCGTGTGCCTGAATTCGCTAACCTCTAGATTCGATTACGCTTCCTTTGAAAGAGCCCGTTGAAAGCCATTCAAACACTAATGTAGTCCCGACATTCTTCAATTCTTCTCAAAACTTTTGGACGTTAAGATCAGTCGAAATTTGTGACAAAAGGCAGCTCATCTGAACTGCATGTGTACTACCGCTACAGGTAACTACTGGTATCGCTTGATATCATTCGGGATCATTTCTACCCTTTCTCAGTTGTCCCACGTGCTTCGTCACGATGCCCTTCATCATGGGATGGATGTTTTCGAATTGTCTTCGTCGTAGTTTCTCTCAATGAATAGAGGAATGGTGGTGTCGTGTTCGGCAAAAGGTTTTCGAGTATTCGTTTTGCCGGTATCCTCCCATGGGTATTTTCCCCCTTTTGCAATGCAGCATGTCGTCCTCCTCATTCGCATATGTTAACGGTTCCAGGGGGAACTCTCATTCCTTTTCTTATTTCACCATATAATTCTGAACAAATCTTTGCCATTATTACTTTTTTACGGTACAAAAAACCTTACTGGTTTGATTCAGGCTGTCCCGTTTTTGCTTGTACTCCTCACATCCAGCTAGTTGTACTTTTGGCATTCAAGAGTTTTATTTTTTATGTTGATACTATCTTTATTTCTTTACTGAAACGAATTTTCCTTGAAAGCCAGCCATCATCTAATAAATGTGAGCTTATCTTTCTCCTATGCTTTCGTTTTGCTCCTTCTATCGCCCATGAAATCTGATTGCACTTCATGACAAGTTCCCATTCAACAGATATTTGGCTTGACGTCCCGTTTCAAACTAGTACATGTTTTCTTCTTTATCACGTTTATAGCTTGTGTCCGTTTTTTCGCTAACTGGTAAGCTACTGCTTTGAAAAAAANAAAAAAACGCTCCCATAAAGAGCTCAGCCAAAGTGGTGTCTGGTTCTGCTGGTCACTCTTTCTCAGTCTAGATCGACCATTGGAATCCTATACTTCCTCTTAACCACAAATGACTTCAACTTTCTATGGAACTTTAGATGTAAGCCAAAGTAAATCGATAGACTCTGGAATGCTAGTTGCAAATGTGTGGACGCCAAAATTGCTACCTGAATCTTTTCAGCAACTTCTCCCTCCCAAATCTTCCACATGGTAGCTCGTGAGTTTGCTTGTTACGAGCGCTATATTTTTGCATTCAGTGCTACATTTGAATCAGAGATCCTTTGCTCTAATTTTTGCATTCATTTGAACTATCCTGATTAAATCTATCATTCAAGCTTGTCGCAATTATTGAAAACGGAGTGGTTTGCACGTAAATTGTTTCATTTTGGCCGACGCTGCATTTCAAACATGCATGAAATACCTACACATCGCTGGTTTCTATATTTGTAACAAGCTTTTCAAAAGCAAGACATGCTTTTTCGATCAATTATCGTGAAAAACGTGCACCAATCTTGGCCGCGATCGCTCTATTGCTCGTTGCGATCAATCGATAATCGTGAAAAGCGTGCAAAAGTTTCAGCCTAGACTATTTTATCGCCCATCACTATGTGTTCCGTTCCTANTGTAAATTATGAATGACGCTTATTGAAAAAATCTGTCAGTAGCCTATTGGTGAAGGAAGGCTACTACCTACAAAGCGTTCCAGCTCTCTCAGGCTTTTTGTCCATCATCTTTTCCTTCTCTTTCATTCAGTTGTTATCGATATCGTTCTAATCTCCGATCTAGAGAGCTGTTGTATGGTACAGTACCACGGTACTACGGTACGGTGTACAGTAATTACGAAGAGTATAGTGTTACAGTGCTTACAAACGTGCTTCCTTCCAACTTTCGATCCGTCTCAGGAGAAAGGCTTGATTTTCCTGGACGTTGTTGAGATCCCAAATGTTTTGGGCGCTCCCCCAAGGGCCTGATTAGTTGGTATAGGTTATGCTTCGATTTATACCTTACTCAGGCACTAAAATCGGGCTGATAATGTGAATGAAAGACCATTTTTTGAAACTGTTCTGAAAAATCAATGGATAAGTCGATGTCAGCCGTTGCAGTGATCAATCACCTTGCAATTTCTCACCACCTTTCTGTGACCCTCTAAAGATCTTCATCTGTGGAGTGATGAGGTTTTAATGGGGGTTTGAGGTGGTGCTCAGCTTTCCTGGGGAACCATCTGAAGCTGCATTGATGTCATTCGATGGGAGCCTGACGTCGATGCCGTCATGATGGTCGTCAGCAATGAGTTGTTGCCGTGGGTGTAACTATGTGTGTGTGTGCGGGCTGCATGTGAGCGCTATGACAAAATCGAGCCGCCACACGCTTCTTTTTCGTCTTCTCCTCAACAAATGTCATTTGACATTTTGACGGCTCCCCTATGTATGTATGGGTGTGTGTTCAAATGGTTTTCCGAAAATTCGACGACGTCACAGGAGAAGTTGACAATAAGAGTTGTAGTTGTCGGCACATACGGCATGGACCTACCCAACAAAGTGACGACGACGACGACGACGATGACGATGACGACGACGAGGAAGATGACGATATTTGAATGTGTCCACACACATCTGCGTGTACATCTGATTCTCTTTCTCTCCTCTGTATCTCTTTTGCCACCCCGAACAAATTTGCATAAGTGAGCGGCACGATTGACTTATCGTTCGGAGGGGGACAGAGGCAGGGGACGGGGGAGGGAGGACGAGAAGAATGTGGGTGTGTGTGGAGTCCAAAGCAGCAGCACTCACATTCACGTAACGAGAAGCGACAATTTCACATCAATTTCCGAGTGTCAGTAAGAAAAGAGAACTAGTTATACTGAAAAGAGTACAAAACTTTTTAAAATCGATTACTTTATCACTTTTCATCGACCTACTTGTAGGTACATTTATAGTAGAGCTAAAGAGTAAGTGCATTTTTTGGGCATCATACGTGTAATACATGAAGTTCGTTCGGTCCTTCCACTGGGAACCAGCCCCAGAATTTGCGTATGTGTTCATGTAACCTGAACTCCGGAATTCCAAATTTGTTCTGAGCACAAAAAACGATATGTCCTAGAAGAGTCTCGTTTGGAGTATGGAGAACGACTGGGATAACTGCTATAGGAGTCCATAAAAAAGTAAAAAGTAGTAATTTTCGACCCCATGAAAGCAGCCAGCAGTAACCCGCATGAGAAACTCAACAGACCATGTTTTTACCAACATAAAGTCAGACAAAGATCGACGAGTAGTGGTAGAAAAGACGTCACAAGCCCCCCGCGAGGGGCAGCCAACAGGTGTTCCCGGGGCGATTCCAGAGGTTTGAGGATATATGTCTCAATCTGTTATGACGTACAATGATCGTGTATGGCTGGCTATGTGGGTTGGCTAGTTGAATTGGCAGGCAAGCTGCAGGTTGACGAGAATTGATGGGACTTGGTCAATTGGGACTTCCTACGTGAAGATGTCATTATGCAAGACGAAGGGCACGGAGGGCACATGTGCACACATAGCCATGGCCACCACCACATCCCCACACGACTCATGCCCACATACACCTTCAACAACCTCTCCTACCACCATCCCATCATCAATGGCCACCGGTCGATTTCAGAGCACCGAAGAAATGCGAGTCTCTCATAGCATTCTTCCTCAATGGCCACCTCAACGCTTTTACCACTTACATCCTCCTCTTGCAGGTGCCCACACTATCCACCTCCCCCCACTTCCCCCGTGAGACATTATGCATTGATGTAACGATGGATTCATTATGCTGGAACGAGAACGATGACGTCTTCTAATTCTGGCTCTTCCAATAGGCCAACAGGTGCCAAGGGCCCTAACTTTGGACCCCTCCGCTGATGCCTTCATTCCCATTAGGGATTCCATCGCGTCAACTGCTTATTCACTAATTATGCTGTTTACCCTCTACGGGACTGACCACAATCGGCCCACACCTTTATCCATTCGTTCTTGGGACTAATTTTTCCGCTTCAACGTCATCGCACCCATGCTTACGCATGTGCACATCTCTTGCAAGAGCTCCAAACTACCATTTCGTGCTCCTGAATTTACATAATGCCATCCTTTATGAAGTCTTCTTTCCCTCCGTTTACGAGTTCCGCTCTTTCGCTTTACGTCATCACTATAAACATAACTTTCAACAGTAAAACTATTTTAAATTAGTTTCAGGAGAATAAGTAGACAGATAATGGGAATGTGATGAGATCATTTACCCACAGACTTGTGCGGGTTCTGTTCAGGACAATTTCTCTGTGTTCCTTAGTCACGTGAGTTATTTTATAAATTGGAAATTCATCGATTTTTACATATTTTTCAAAAGTTCCCGTTTTAGAAGTTATGAGGTGCGCTCTATCAACACGGCATGGGGTGTTGTGAGAGGAGAACTGGTACATCCCGATGGAGCCGATCTGGCACCCGTCACACAGTTCCTTGGCGTACCCTATGGTGTAGCTCCTTCTGGACAGGTAAGCTTACGCTTTTTCCTCCAAAGATATTTCCCATTCCCGATATAAAAAGAACTTATTACTCATGCTGAGTGCAAACTTGTTACTTCAGCTGTATTATGCCCTATGGAGCAAGCCCTCACAGGCTTTTTTTCCATGACTTGCCATATTTTTAGTTCCGCTTCAACATGGCTATATCAGCTGCCAAATGGACCCATCTGCCTAAAGAAGCTCGAAGACTGGCTCCAGCCTGTATTCAAACGCAACTTCCCGAACTCAGCGAAACAAGGTCACGTTTCGATTCTGTCCACCATGCGATTTATTTCATTCTGAACCACCGTTCCAGGTTTTCGACTATTGCCCCTATAAGCTCCACTGTTGTCTCCCAAAGTTTATACATGATTAATCTGGAATGTCCAGATTTTTGTGAAGGCTATCTTGAAGTCGTTGAAGCTTCTTCTTGAATTCCTCTTCACACTTCCTTACCAAGGATTCCAAGAACTCAACAAAATCCAAATGGTCGTTTTCCTCGTGCTCGTCGTGCCCGAGCAGGCCGAGTGGATTTTCGGAGACTTTCCTGGAGAACTACCACTCCCTCATTTTGCTACTTGAGTTGTTTCTGAGATGGGTACCGTAAAATGAGACCAGTTCGATATTTTGCTGATTGCTAGGCTTGTCCAGAATGACAGTCTTGTCAATTGTCCGGGTTTGTCCCCTGAAAGTGATCGAAAATATGTATATGTGTATAACAATTGAAATGATGCTCTACTTACATGTACATGATTGTTTGTACATGATTGTACTTTACATGATTGTTTTTTTTTTGAAAATTTCCGATTTTTAGGGCTTTTAAACAAATGTCAGCTCAACGATTCGATTATGTTCACCGATTACTTCCAAAGCTAAAACTTCAATCTGAAGACTGCCTGTATATGAATCTATTCGTACCAGAACGATTAGGTGAGTTGACTTTAACCAAAGCCGTTTAGGATTACTGACATAGCCTTTTTTGGGGGCTATCAGAGCCCTGGGATTTCTCAGAAAATATTGAAGCCCACATGGACTCGGCACAATTTGGCAGTGCCCATGCCTTTTAATTGCTAATTATGTGAAGATACATCTCTGAGAAAAATAGCGGATTTCCGGTTTCCGTTTCTTTCCAATCGGAATCTTTTTCGGTGATCTTAGAGTTAAGGGTATGGGCCGAAGACCATTATAGTTCGGGTCGACTAAAAAACCGCGTCAACTAAAAGATCCAGGTAGCAGATGATTTATGGCTTCCATTGAGCGGAGGTACCTTTCGGGCGCCCACCTGCAGTTCATACATCATCGCGTCATGGGAATTACATGTCCCAGGCCGTGATCATTGTCAAGTATAATGTATGTAGTAATTATTTTTACAACTTCCCATTACTATTGTACTATAAGCTCCCATGGTCGATCAAATACGAGAGTGGAATAAAATGAGCGATGTTCTCCTGAAGTACTGAGAACCAACTCCATTTGCATAATAAGCATAATAATCTTTGTAGCTAATAACGTTGTCCCAAGAGTTCCAGCCAGTAAAGTCGAACACAGAGGGACAGGAAAATTTCGATCCCAAATCTTGCCACCTATTTCTGGCACGTACCGAACTTTTGATGAAATATTCAGTTTGAGCTTCCCACCTGATTAGAAGGGCCCAAGATCAACTACGATTCAAAACGGAAGTCTTTACTCTTCAGTTTTTGTCATAAGTTACAAAATCAAATAACAACTTAACTTAAGGTCCCTGGTCTAAAAAAAAACCTAGCCCATATTTCTCACCCGGAAGTGATATAAAACTTATCCCGGACGACTGACTTCTCTGGTTTTCTATAGCAATCCCTCCCTCCCTCTCTTCTTACCTACATAAACTCAGCACTTTATGTCAGCCATAATAATAAAAAGGATCTCACAAGGTTGGCGGGGTGGACAAAACTTTAGCCTTGGAAGGGACTCAAATCCGTTTTTTCTGATTGCGAACTGCGGCGAATTGATGCTAGTTAACGAAACATCAAGTCACTACTTAGAAAGGGTATGCAGTTGCTATACATTTACAGGTATGCCAGTAGTATGTAGTAAAGTATGAGACGATTCAAAACGGTAGGCTCACTGAGTTTAAGATGGTAGGAAATCGGGAAATGAGCTTAGTTGTAACAGTAGGCCAGGTTGAGCCGAGGAAGTTCGACCTTCCCTTTGTGCTCAATTCATATGTTGAACTCCATTGATACTTTCACTTTTTTGGTTGAACGGCAAACGTTTCAAAAACCTTTGAAATCGGATTCATTAACGACACTTGGTGCGCATCCTTTCCTCTAGTTTCTTGAGGCTATCCGAAGAATTCCATATTAGTGGGTGGATTTTTTATCATTTTCTTCCGCCTCTGGAGGACCAATTTCAATATCAGATTGTCTCAAATCTATGTAGAATGTTGTACAATCTCAATCACTACATGGTTTATGATGTTTCCCTTAATCCCTCCTCTTCTCTCCAGTATTAACCTGCTCAGTGCGCACTGTCCCTGAGAGCTGTCGCCATCAATTTCTATCTGAGGGGTCTTCTGCCGTAATCCTACCTCTGAGAGGTCCTACTTCGCCAGGTCCCTCCACCTTCTTCCTGGGGCTCCACTTCGTCGCTCCTTCTGAGCTTCAAACTTAATTGCTTCATTTATCGTTCTCGCCTTGGCCTTTTCAGTATGTGCCCATACTAACGCGGGCACTGCTCTCACCTTCAGCTGAACAGGGGCTGTTTGCATGGCCACCCTGATGAC